GCCACTGCCATTTCAATTTTGCAGTTGGTTTGACCAATCTAATCTGTGTATTTGCACTTCTCTAATCACAGTCCGAAAACAGAAGTTATCCCTAAATCAGAAACATACCTGCTAGACTGACTCTTTATAGCCGGCACATCAATTGGCTTCTCCTTGTCCTTCCTTTTGCTTCCGGACTTCCTCCGGACGTAAACCGGAGACGGCTCCCAAACATCATCGCCACCTGATACACTTTCAGGCATGAGGAACTAACCACGGAAAAATTAAATCCGACAAAACCCCAGATTCCCAAAACCGATTTCAGAACAAGCAAATCGACGAAGGCGGAAGAGAGAACCCAAAATTACCGACGGCCGAGGATTGATTGCGCTGTGGGCGAGCAGGCGTGGAAGTGGAGGGTCCTAGAACGGCGCTGGTAGTGGATCCGGCCGTGGATGGAACCTTATCGAGATGGGTCTCAGTGGGATTCGGATTGTCGCGGGAATGGAGATGCTGCGAAGAGGAGGGAAACGATTTCAAGGGTTTCTTGAGAAGGTAAGAGGAAGACGAAGTGGAAGAACAGCTTGCAGAGGAGCCGACGGGTACAAGGGTGTTGCTGCGATCAGAGAGCGGCTTCCTTCTTCTAGCGCTGCTCCTAATTGTATTTCTGCGTTGAGCTTCCATCGATGCTGAGGGATTTTCCATTTTCCAAGCAGATTACCAACAAGTACAATTTCAGGGGAGATTTTACAGTCGTCGAACTGGTGCCATAGGAGATGGAGGAGCGGAGTGGAATAGAAAAGGAGTGCGGAGGAAGCTTTTCTGTTCTGCTGCAATGGCGGGAAATATCAAAGCGGAGTCTAGAGAAGACTGGAGAGCTTTAATCTATCTACTGAACTTATAATACGCCGAAGGCGACAAGTACGGGGATTCGAACCATAACCATGTTAAAGAAAAGTATGAATAATAATCAAACACATTTGTTGTATCTTTTTAAATTAAAAATATATAATAGCAGGGAGGAAAAAAAACTATTCCCCCATTTCAAATTTCCTGCTCCATGAGCGTTTGTAGGAATGGTAGAATAGGGAATGTCAATTTTTTTCTCTTTCCTCTGTGGAACGGGCCAACTTACCGTACACATGTGAATTTAAACGGGTCAAGGAGTGTCGATTTTTTTTCTTTAAGCTCTTTTATTTTCCGTGTTGATAAAATATATATGAAAAGGCAAAAATAATACTCATTTTTATTGTTAAAAATAAAAAATTTAACAATAAATTAATGCATGGTATCTAATGGGCTAACCGCTAACCATAAAATAAAAGAGTTGAATGGCCTGACCTACATTGGATTTTCAGTTCCTTTTGAATTTCTATTGTTTTATTCCCGAATAAGTGATGTGCAAATGGCGAATTGTAGTCGTCTCTTTTCTTTCACTATTTTTTATTTTCAAATAGAAAGTTTAAAAGTAAAGAATAATTAGAATTTGGCATGAGTCGGTCAAACAGACTGAATTTCAAGTTTTGGCCCGTTTGTTTCATGCATTGCAAATTTATTAGAATGTTGATGGAAATGGCTTGGAAAAAAGACATATAAGTTGTACCTTTGCAGAAATGTTCTCGAATGTTTAAATGCTTTGTGAATCAGGTTCTGTGACTTTTGTCATGGTGTATGTGCTTGACAATTGCTCGATGTTGTAACTGCTTAATTTGAGAGTAAATCTTTTGATTTTCCCTATGAGTTGTGATACCAGTTCTGGTGGTTGCAGCATGTTGTCGTTGTTGGCCTGTAAAAGTTGTTCCGCCGTGGTGCTAAATACCTTTCTTTCTTTTTTAACAAATTGTGTAGTAGCGCTATGAAACAGACCACCCATGAACGCTACGCTTATTATGGTCTGTTATTACTTCCGGTGGTGAGAAATTGTGAATTGAGAATCATATTCGCCTACCGCACTGTGTCTGGCTGGTGGCTGCTTACTGTGCTCTCTAGAGTTATGAAACAGACTACCCATGAACGTTACCCTTAAGAGTCCATAACTTTGCGGGGAAAAAAAATTAGGCAATCAAAGGTGGTGGATGTGTGATGATTTTTTATGGCTTAATTGTTTGTGAATTGGATATTTGATCTTTGTATGATTAGAGGGGATGTTTGCTTAATAGAATAATCCATTTTAATTCATGTTTATTTTTAACATGAACTTTAGCAACTCAAAACCTTCGAGACACATATCACCTACTGCATTGTATCATTTTGCCTGGGTGCTTGCTGTGTTGTCAAACTTTTTTGCTGCTGCTGCTTTTACACTAACAGGGGAGTTAAGAACCCATGAATGTTTCCGTTTGACACAAACAGGAGGACTTGCTTCTAAATCGTGCACTAAATATGATTGGAGGAAACATCTCTATTGCAGTTGATATACTGGAGACCAGAACAAAAGCAATGTATAACATCAAAACCAACCATATGAACTATTAGCATTGTTGCTTTACTATTTTTTCGTGGTTGAGTCTCCTTCAAAAAATTTAGTTTGATTTTAGAAAATTTTGCTTCTGTAGTCCTGTCTTGCCACCAAAGCGTTCAGTAGATGGAGATGGCAGAGGCGAAGGCTATTTTTGTGTTTGTGAAGAAGAGGGAGAAGAGAGGGGGAAAGGGAAATTCAGGAGAGGGGGGTAACTCTTTTCTGTGACAAAAATGGAGTGAAGAAAGGAATTATGATCAGTAAGGATATGGTTATCTTACATAAGGACGAGCTGCAACCAATTCATAGTGAGAAGAGAGCTATGAACTGTGATCATGTCTTATTTCAAGTTAGAAGGTAGTTTCAGTATAAGGATTATTTAATTTGACAAGTTGTTTCGTCCATGATTCTTGGTAGTTTCAGTGTCATTCTAGCCATTGTTTAGTCTGTAATTTTTGAGAATTGATGTGCGAGTAATGACTTTCACTTAGCTTCAACTATTATGTGTGTATTTATTGGCATGTGATAGAATTCTCTTTTCCTTTTCTTTGAATTCAATTTCATACTCTAATTGTATCATTTGTACATAGGCAAATCATGCTCGAGATGACAACTCGCTGATATGGCTGGTGCAAGGAACAAAGCCATCATTAGAATTCAGACCGGGGAGGGATGCACAGGACTAATTCAATGATGATTGATGATAGTATAATAAAAACTGCAGTCTACATCAGCACCAATTTCTAGGCTAAGTAAAGTTATTCAACCCAAAACTCTGCTTAGCGCTAAAAATTTCCCTCACCCAACCTTGATCCTATTTGACCCACTTCTGAAGAGTCAAGATATATGAGTATATGACTAATCCTCTCCGTTCGTATTTTCTTATTGACTCTTTCTGACCCTTTAGGTTGGGGCGGGTCGGGAAGAATCGGATTAGTGAACCACTACATCGATTTTGGAGCACTCGATCCGCGTCAAAAGCAGGTCAATGGAAGGTAAATCAAACGACTCGGATCGAGTTTAGGGTACTCGATCAACGGTAGTGCGCGCCTGACGTCATCGATCCACGTCAATCTGATCGATTACCACAGACTCGATCCACTATCATCGAGTTTCCCCCACTCGATCCGCGTCATCACTGCTTCACGGGTTTGGCAATCGAACGGCGTAGATCGCTTCCTGGTACATCGATCTAGGGTGGAGCGCTGCCCAGGTCATCGATGCAGGTCACTCTGATAGAGTCTTCTATCCTCGATCTACCGAAATCGAGCTTAATAAGCTCGATCTGTGTCGTCCTATGCCAACCAATCATGGCCCTTTCGCTCGATGCACGTGGATCGATGGGTTGGCTGTCGATCCGGTACTAGTTCGAGTTTGTTAAACTTGAACCGTGTCAAACTTTGGTAGTTTGGGAATTTTTTATAAAAGTCATGTGTTCTAGGAATTATTTTTAATTATTACTGTATTTAGGGAATTAATCCACATGGCTCACAGTTCCGGCCTCCGTCATCCATCCGTAATTTTTTGAATGAGCTCTGCAGCCGTGACTTGGTACCCGAAAGCTGAAAGGTGGTTGGTGCCAGTGGACTAAGCAAAGACGGAATTCCATATTAAAAAAAAGAAAAGTCCAAGCCTCAGCCGGCAATGCCATCCATTGCTCGCCCAAGAGAGTGTCGCCTGAACAAAACAATCTGAAGAGAGGCGGCCGATTAGGAAAGCCGCAAGGGAGGGGGGGATTGGAGTCGACTATATTTCATGGATCTTCATCCTGTAGTCCCGGTTTGCTTTATTGAATTTTCGGGTGTGTTTTAGAGGACTTGTGGTTTATTTAATAATGTTTGTGGCCTGCTTTTTATGATTTATAGTTTGCTTTAATAAATTTGTAGTATGCTTTATAAGACTTATAGCTTGCTTTGTGTGACTTGTGGGCTGCCTCAAGAAATTTGTGGAGTGCTTTAATAAACTTGTAGTGTGGTAAGTTTGTGGTCTAGATTTTTGTGGGGTTTCTTGTGTTTGTGAGGTGGATTTTGTGATCCTACACTCCTCATTTAATTGCACAAGAAACACGTGGAACCCCCTTACCCCAAATTTTTATAATACTAAGTGTGTCCCTCCTTCCCTTTTGCTTTCTTAATTGTGGTCAACTCATTTAAATAAAAAACTCATCCAAACGAAAATGTATATGTTTATGTCGGGGATGTAGCCGATGTCGACCTCTTCGATCTTGGGACCCAAAGTGATTTGAAGTGCCCCTTTATCATAACCTTCCTTCGTGGCGTTGCCTCAAATCTCCTCCTACAAAAAAGGGACCACCAGCCGATCTCGACTGAGGCACCCTCAGACGCTCAAGTTAGTCCCTAGTGTGTGGGATTGAATAGTTTACAAGGTGTTTGCAAGAGGTGAGCCTGGGAGATGAGAGTCACTGATTGCAGCGGACGCCCTCAGGGTACTTCCCCCAGTCTCTTGCCTTACCTTCCACTAGAGAGCATGAGCTAGTTATATAGTACCTGGGGGACAACAGGAGGACAGGTGTAGGCGCCAGAGATGAAAATAGGACATGTCACTGGACATGTGTCGTTTATGTCCGTTTGCACCTGCCACGTGGTTGTACACATGTCAACCATGCCTTTGCCTAATGAGAACAACCTTGCCACATTGAGACTAATTGAGAATAGGGCAATGACACATGTGTAGGTGGGAGTGCAATCAATAATCCATGTGGGGTGAGTTTTTGTGGATCCGGGTGCCGGGAGCAGGGGGCGATAGCATCCCAAGCGTCAGGAGCCAGGCATAATAGTATGTCGGCTGGTACCGGGAACCATAGGAGATATCGGCCCAGGCACTAAGAGATGGGGGCGATACTGGGCCCCGGTAGTTGGGAGGAAGGCGAAGCCCGGGTACTGGGGGCGATGGGTGATAGCAGACCCGGGCACCGGGAATCGAACAAGAGGTGAAGCCCCAGCACCGGGAGCTGGGAGCAATAGCTGGCCTGAGCGTCGCGAGGGTGGTGAAGTCTTGGTGTCGGGAGCCGGGAGCGATAGCAAGCCCGGGCGACAGGAACCAGACGATAGGCGAAGCCCTAGCGTTGGAATCTAGGAGCAATAGCGGGCTCGGGCGTCGGGAACCGGACAAGAGGCGAAGACCCGACGCCGGGAGAGGAGGCAAAAGCGGGCTCGGGCACCGGAGGCCGGGAGAGATAGCGGGTGTCGGGAACCGAACGAGAGGCGAAGCCCCCGTGCTTGGGAGACGAGGGCAATAGAGGCCAGGAGAGATAGCAGGCCCGAATGTTGGGAATCGGACGAGAGGCAAAGCATCAATTCTAGGAGCCGGGGGAAATAGCGGGCCCGGGCGCCGTGTCTGGGTGCAATGATGCACCGGGGGAACCGTGCTCCGAGTGGAGGGAGGAACCCACCACTGGAGGCAATCGGGAACCACTATATGATTTAGTGTTGGCGGGCCATGGCACAGTTGTTTACATACAGGAGCCGTACGGGTCTGGTCCAATTTTTCACTAGGCAGAGTCGGCCCAGGTGCAATAGTGCATTGTTTGAGCAAATGATGGGCTGATGCATTAAAAAATATTTTTACTTTGGGTATATCAATTGCCCCCTTGCTAGCGGTAATCTGAAGATTCTCAGGGACAAGCATGATCTACCCCACGATCAATACCCACATTTAATCTTGGTGAAAATTGTTTGGGAAGTGCATAAGTTTTGGGTTTGGGGAGATAATTTTCTCTTCTTATGACTTTGGCCTTCACTCTTCTTGATTCTCATGAGCTGAATAGAAGACAATGCATTTTTGTTGAATTTTGGTCAAAGACCATTTTCAAAATGCACAAACCTTAGACTTATAGAAGAGAAAATGCTCTCTTCCATGCTTTTCCTCCCCTTCAATCTTTCATAAATAGCTTCTTCCTCTCTTCTTCATTCATCACGTCATCCTTCTCCAAGTTCTCCCTTTCCTTCATTGAGAGAAAACTTGTTAGTTAGCGAACGGTGGCAAGACAGAGATTAGCTTGGAGGCTCCGTTGGAGACTTGATCGTGTTAGGTACGACATCTTGTCCCCTCCCCCCAGCATTACTTACTATGCTTGCATGTGGGGGATAGGAATACTTAGTTTTATTTTATGTTTCTCTTGCGTTTCCGTTATGGCATGTCGGCGAGTGATGTCGAGTGGGATTCCTCAAGAGGAGTTGTCCCATCGGAGGAGGATGAGGTGACTTTGAGGGAGGAGATGACGGTTCTGATACAAGTCGTCCCTGCATCTGAATGAGGGTGGTTTTCCCCCGCACCGTTTGCGTAGGGTGACGGCTGGATATCTTGGTCGGCCGAGCCAGTCAGAACGGGAGCTAGGGCGAGATACCATGTGCACTCCATGTTCGAGACTTCCTCAGAGGATGATGTGAGACTTATATTGGGAGGTTGGCCAAGCTGAGGACTTAAAAAAGAGGATGATGGACCTACAGGATATTTTAGCGTCATTTGGTATGCTTGAGGAGTGGGAGTATGCTCTTCCAGGGAGTGATGCTAGCGTTAACTCTTGGGGTCTGGGTAGTATTTCATTTTCTATGAGTCACTCTCCTACGAGTTTCGTGCCCCCTACCCAAGTGGTTAGGCAACGTAATGGTGGATGCTGGCTGGCCATATGTTCGGTGGCACCATATTTTGGGCATTTGTGGCAGCATTTCTTTCTCGTTGCAAAACGAAGGGTATAAACCCTATCGAAGATTTTTTCTACGCATCTTTCACTGTTCAACATGTTTCCTCGGGTAGTACCTCTTGGGGTTTGGAGCATCGCTTCTACGGGCCCAAATATGATCGGTGTTCCCCTTTCGGGTCCGTGATGAAGATAAAACATAAGGGCTGGTATGATAAGTTTTTTTTTTCTCTGCCAGGAGACTCACGGTAGGTGGCGATCCAATTCTGAATGAAATTGGGCTTGAGAATCCAAGGAAAATCCTTAAGGCACCCAGCCTTCCCTTGGACTTCGGTCAGTTTTTAAGTGGGCCCCCGACCTAACTTCATACCAAAGAACATATTAGATTGTTGATAATCCAAGCTTAATCGGAGGGTTATAGGATTCCTCGCATAATAGGTTTTATCATTCTAGAATTCTTGCTCATCTTGGGGACTAAGCCATTTTCTTTTCAGGTGCTAAGGATGTTGAGTAGTTGCTTTGCAGCATAGAATCCGATCACGGTGATGCAGATCTGGGAATAGGTCAACACGCATCTCGATAATGAGGAGTAGAGATTCGCGAGCTCCCAATTCAGAATTCTGAAGGACTTGATAACTATCAAGGTCGAGGGGTCCACAAGAAGAGGATCATTGCTAACTCATCAAGTTCTTCTCGGTTCACCGCGGGTTATGGAGGCTGCGTTGGGGTGAGTATTACTCAGAGGTCATCCGGGAGCTCAGGCTCCCAAGCTAGTTGTGGATCTTGGAGAGCTGCTTCAGGTCCGAGCCGAGGCAATAGCAGGCCCGAGCGCAGGGTGCGATAGCGGGCCCGGTCACCTGGAACCGAACGAGAGGCGAAGCCCCGACACCCATTCAATAGCAGGGCCGGGCATCGGGTGCAAGGCAGAGCCCGGGTGCCGTGGGCCGGAAGCGATAGCGGGTCCGGGCATCGGGAACTAGACAAGAGTCGAAGACTCGGTGCTGGGAGCCGGAGGCAATAGTGGGCCCGGGCTCCGGGGTTCGGGAGTGAAAGCGAGCCCAAGCGTCAAGAGCCAGGGGCAATAGCAGGGCTGGGAGCCAGAATAAAGCCAGACTCCGGGGGTCGGGTGCGATAGCAAGCCCGAGCACTGGGAGGGATGCTGAACCCGGGTGTCAGGGGTCGAGAGCGATAGCGGGCGTCGGGAGTTGGGAACTGGACGACTGGTGAAGGCCCAGCGCCGAGGACAATAGCGGGCCCCATATGTCGGGGTCCCTGAGCCATAGCGGGCCCGAGCGTCGGGAACCGAACGAGAGGCGAAGCCACGGCTCCGGTAGCCGGGGGAAATAGCAGGCCCAGGCGTCGGGTCTGGGTGCAATGATACACAGGGGGGAGCCGTGCTCCGAGAGGAGGAAGGAACCCAATACTGGAGGCAATCACGAGCTACTATATGATTTAGTTTTGGCGGATCATGACACAATTGTTTACCGACAAGAGCCGGACGGGTCTGACCCAATATTCCACAAGAGAGAGTCATGGGCCGGGTGCGATCGTCGGCCCATGTGTTTGAGCAGATGGTGGGTCGGTGCAGTAAAAAATCTTTTTATGTTGGGTATATCAGTATCTATTGGCTAAAACTAGTGTTAATATCATGCTAACAAAAAAAGTGTTAGCCCTCTAACCCTTCGCATTAACTCTATTACCTTTCAATTATTTTTATTTGGGTAAGAACAATATAATAGGCAAATTTTTTATTAAAAAAAATAATAAGCTAAACCTTTTCAAAAATAGTTTAATAGTTAGTTGAACCGCAACCCCGGTCATATCCATTTGTTGCTCCCACTCCCATTCCCCAGTCGATGCCGCCATGAAAGCTCTCAATTTGTTTGCTCCATTTACAACATTCATCCCATCTAACCTTACTAAAGATTCTAAGACCCATTCGTGCTCTACCTCTCCAAATCAAAGACTCAATTTGATGTCCCTTTTGATTTCCACACCAGATTGTCGAAGATCTGGAACTCGCGCTTGGAGTTGAGGGTGAGGGAGGTGGAGTACAGGCGCTTGATGTTAAATGTATTGGGTGTCAATTGTAATTAGCCTTTAATCCTTGTGCTAGAAGTATTTGGTTAATTACACTTAGGTCCTGAGATAGGGTTTAATGGCCGCTTCAAAAATGGACGCTTCAAAAATTGACTCTATCTCGGTGAAGTTTAATGGCCGGAACTTTGCACTATGGGAGTTGCAATTCCGTTTGTTTGTGCAGGGGCGCCGTCTCTCCTCGATTCTGGACGGGACGCAACCCGAACCTGATGCTACGGCTTCGGCCAAGGAACGGGATGACTGGGCGGTCAGTAACGCCCTGGTCATGGTGTGGATTTTGGGATCGGTTGACCCACCGATTGCTCTCACCCTCCGCAGCTTTCCTACGGTGCACGCGATGTGGCGCTATCTTTCTGAGGTCCATTCCCAATCCAGCTCGTCGAGGAAGTTTGAGGTCGAGCTGGATTTGGCTCGGTTGCACCAGGGAGATCTCCACGTCCGGTCCTACTATTAGGCTGCTGTGAATCTCTGGAAGGAACATGATCTCATCATGTCCTCGGTGCTCTCGGCGGCGGCGACCGCTGAAGTTCTTCAGGATCGCGCCAGTTCGCGAGTTATGTAGTTCTTGATGAAGCTTCGGGGCGAATTCGAGGGCATACGCGCCTCTTTACTGCATCGGAATGTCACCAAATTGGAGGATGTCTTGGGTGAGCTCGTCCGCGAGGAAACGAGACTTCGCAGTCAGGCGGATTCAGCTTCCGCGTTTGCTGTTTCAGCTGGGAAATCTGGTTCTTCGGCGGCCTCGGCTGATAATGCCGCCTTTGCTGTTGGGTCTGAGCGACCCCGCTTTCGTACGGCAACAGGGGAGATCGTTTGCTTCCATTGTAAGGAGCCGGGGCATATCCAAAACCACTGTCCGCGCCGGAATTCTTGCAACTACTGCAAGGCTTCCGGTCACAAAATTGGTGACTGTCCCATACTCGCCAAACGTGGTCGCAATCGGTCCTCTTGTTCTTCTTCTGGTAGTGGGACTTCGGCTGCCTCCTCTAGTCCAGCCTATGCGACCACTCTTGCTCCGGCTCAGCCCGCGCCGTCATCGTCAGGTAGTTCTATAACTCCTGACTACATCCGTCAATTGGTGCAGGATGCGATCAAGGAGGCTCTTCCTACTGCTTTGGGTTCGGTTTTTACAGCTGGTAAGCCTTCTTGTTCTTCTTCTTCGTGGCATCTTGACTCTGCCGCATTTAATCACATGACAGGATCTCGTTCCGCTTTTTGTTCCTTACGGCCTAATCGCCCTATCATGCTTCAAGTGGCGGATGGTACTTGTTTACCCGCCCAAGGAATTGGGGATGTTCATAAGTCACGTGTTCGTCTTTCTGATACACTCTATGTTCCGAAACTAGTGCCTAGTTTGGTGTCAGTGGGGTAGCTTGCGGAGGATGGGTGTCGTGTTACCTTTGATGGTCGTGGTTGTGGTGTGCAGGACACGAACACAGGGAGGGAGATAAGCCGAGGGACTAAAGTCGGGTGGGTGTTTACCTTGGATAGCTATTCTGGACTGCCGAAAGTGGATGATGGTGCGGCCAGTGGAGGGAGTTCAGATCCTACTCAAGGCGCGGCAAGCTCGCCAGAAGTTTTTTATTTTTCCACTGTTGGATATTCTGTTAAATTGTCAAACTGGGATTTATGGCACCGTCGGTTAGGCCATCCTCATTCGGCTCGTTTGTTGGATATGTTTGAACAGAATTTATTATCGGGTAGTTCAGCTTCGGATTCTCGTGATTGTGTTCATTACATTGATGCCAAACTATCTCAACAATCTTTCGCTTCCAGTACTACGGTTTATACAGATCCGTTTGATCTAGTTCATACTGACTTATGGGGGCCTTCACCTGTGACGTCACGGGTTGGTTTTCGCTATTTTGCGCTGTTTGTGGATCAGGCTACAAGATTTGCATGGGTTTATTTCCTTCGTCACAAATCTGATCTCATTAAAGTGGCTAAGGAATTTATCCAGATGATTAAAACGCAGTTTGGAAAGATTGTTACGACAGTTCGATCTGATCCTGGTGGTGAGTTCATTGCTGGTTCTCTGCAGGAAGTGTTTAAAGATCACGGGATTTTACCTCAACAGTCTTGTCCAGGTGTTTCTCAACAAAATGGACTTGTTGAACGTAAACATCGTCACGTTCTAGAGCTGACTCGTGCTCTACTATTTCAATCTTGTGTTCCCTCGTCTTTCTGGGTAGAAGCGATTCATACTGTGGTTCACTTGATTAACAGACAGCTTACTCCGATCCTTGGTCAACGGAGTCCCTATGAAGCTCTCTACGGCAAACGCCCGACATACAAGGAACTTAGGGTGTTTGGCTGTACTTGTTATGTTCTACTTCCGAACCGTGAACGTAACAAGCTCTCTCCTAAGGCTGTAAAGTGTGTGTTTGTCGGGTACAGTGACAAACACAAAGGGTACGTCTGTTATGATGTACCTAATCGTCGGATCCGCATTTCTTGTAATGTTGCGTTTCTTGAGCATATCCCGTACTATGGCTCAGCTGCTGATTCCCCCTCTCGATCTGACTTGGAATTCCTTCAAGAACTGCCCTCATTTCCTGATGCTCAGCCCCTAGAGGTTGATCCTCCTGATCCACCCACTCCGCCCCATGACACCACTTCACTTCAGTTTGAGTCTCTGCTGGCTACCACGAGTTCTTCAGCTCGCATGGGGTCTGCTTTGGACACCTCGTCCTCTTCCTCAAGTGGGGGAACCTCTCCTTCCTTGGATTTACACCTCGTTGAGAATGAGGAACCTCCCCAGCCCCGTCGCTCATTGCGAGCGAATAAAGGAAAATTGCCGGCCCATATGTCAGATTTTGTAGCTTTTTCGACGTCGCCTATTCCGGTTCCGGCAACGTACAAGCAGGCTAGGGGTAATCCTCATTGGGATGCAGCTATGACTACAGAAGTTCATGCTCTTCAGGCAAACCATACTTGGGATATTGTTCCACGTCCTGTTAATGCTCCTGTTATTGGGTCCAAATGGGTTTATAATATTAAGCTGCATCCCGATGGTTCTCTTGAATGGTTTAAGGCGCGTGTAGTAGCTCAAGGGTTCCGTCAGGAATTTGGTATTGACTATGAAGAAACTTTTGCTCCAGTTGCTAAAATGCAAACTGTCCGAAGCAGACCCCATGCGAGCTGAAGAACTGCTGATGTGGGCTTATTCTTTCCGTCGACTGGTGATCCTGTGATTGAAGCATATGTCGATGCAGACTATGCTGGTTGTCTTGATACTCGACGTTCTACCTCTGGCTGGTGTGTGAAGGTTGGATCCTCCTTTGTTTCTTGGCGCTGCAAGAAGCAAGAGAGGGTTTCCAAATCGTCAACTGAAGCTGAATATCGATCAATGTCGGAGGTGACTTCAGAACTGGTGTGGATTCGTCGCCTGGTACAGGAGCTTGGAGTGAGTAGTGTACTTCCCATGCGCTTATATGCAGATAATATGAGTGCTATTCGTATTGCTACAAATCCCGTTCTTCATGATTGAACAAAGCATATTGAAGTGCATGTTCACTACATTCGACAGCTGGTTTCTGAGGGTGTTATCGAGTTGTCCTACATCACATCTGAAGATCAGACAGCTGATTTGCTCACTAAGGCAGTGGCTACTTCTCAACACTGGTTCCTGGCATACAAATTGATTCATCAATTTGAGGGAGGGTGTTAAATGTATTGGGTGTCAATTGTAATTAGCCTTTAATCCTTGTGCTAGAAGTATTTGGTTAATTACACTTAGGTCCTGAGATAGGGTTTTCGGTTATAATAAATAGGTGATGTTAGCCGATCTTGTAACTTAAGGATTCTCGGATAATACAATTGACTCTGAGAGGTTGCTCCTCTCCGTGGATTAGTCTCAGCGATACTCGTTGAGTATACCACGTAAATCGATGTTTGTGTTTGTTTATCCTTCTCTTGATCTTACGTTTAACACTTGATGATGTAGAGATGGAGACTCGCCTGAGGAAATCAAGAACCAAAGAGCGAGATTCCCAGCGATGGCAGCAAATTCGACCACAACCACCCTGCCAGGCCATTGTTGCGCCTTTGCGTCGTCTTCTCTCCCTGCTGCGAAATACCACAACCATCCGCATACACCGCTTGCCTCCAATCTGAGTTTGGGGCATCCCTACGTCGGCTTACTAACTTTCCTTTCTCCTCCTCCTCCGTGACCCAAACCCCATCCTATGTTTTCAATTTCTTCACAAAGTTCGCTCAGGAAGAGTCATAGTCACCATATGGAAGTAAGATGTGTTCCAGTCATCTTCTCGGAGCCACCGCACTCTAGATTTCTTCATCCAAAACAATTCCTCCTCGGCACAGGTCCGCATCAAGACTATTCACTTGATTCAAGTCTATCGGATGCTCTTCCTTGAGAGCTGCAATTTGCACCTTCAGTGTTCTGACCTGTCACGCAGAATTCGTGGTTCCTTTCTTGCTCCATTGGATCAATAAATGTCCATTTAATAAGGATATAGTTTTCAACACCATAATTGCTTAATTTGTCATTGCTTTGCTCAAAACTATTAGCTCATAACGGTGAATGAGTTGTTAAGATGTGGGTTCTCACTGTAGATAGGCGTTGGGCCGTGCTTGGGCCGGCACGGCACAGGCACGCTTTGGCCAATCTATTTCGTGTCGTGCTTCGCACGGCCCATCAGTTTTCTTGTCGTGTCATGCAAGCCCATTTGTTAACTTTGTTAGGCCCAGCCTAGGCCCGGGCACGGTTCGAATCGTGTCATGTCTATTCGTGCTCGTGCCATGCTCGTATTCCTGCTTAATGAAAAGGACGAAAACAAAAGAGAGAATGAAAAATAAGGTGAAAATTGGACGGAGGAAGATAGTATTAATCGATAATGTTTGAGAAAAGTAACAAATCATGAGGAAAAGAAAATTGGAAGTATAGCGAGTGTGATTTGGTTTTGTTTAATTCTTTATCCATTTTTACTTATGTTAGTAATTACGTATATATCTTTATGACACTTCTAACAACAAAAAATAATTATTTTTCTACTTGTGTTTTGTAATATTTGAACCTATAATTCTTTTTATATTTATTTTCTATCAAATAAATATGATTTTCGTGTCATGTTCATTCTTATACTCAATAAAGTCTCGAAAATATTAGGCCCGACAGGGCCCACTTATATACCGTGTCGTGCCCGTGCCGATGAAGTTCCAACACAGCCCATAAATTATTCGTACTCGTACCGGACTGACCCATTTATTCGTACCCGTGCGCTGCCTAGTTTTACTATAATCACCCGACTAAAAAGTTCAAATAGCTTAATTGTTCTTCGACAAACAAAGAAAAAATTACAAAATAAATACACCCTAACAAACGCCCTCCTTCAAACCCGATATTCTCTTCCTTCAGTGACCGATGATGACTGACGGCAGCAAACAGAAAGTGTGCTCTTTTTTGTGTTTTTTTTTATTATATGCATTTTAGAAGAAAAAAATACATAAGAAGACAGAGACAATCTTATGTATTAAGTTGGGGTGCTTTAAGTAAAATTTGGGAAACGCCGTCTCAAATAATGGGCATAATGGCAACGTGCAAAATTAAAAAATTCTAAGCAATTCCGCTAAACAGTCCTTACAGTCAGAGTAGCCTGATTGAATTCTAAAGGTCCAGAAGATTACATCAAGCTGTTCTTCACAGGGGTTACTGTGTAGTAAACATAGAAAAGGATTATATGAACTTCAACTTCTTCAACGTTATCAATCTCAAAAAAGGATCATGCATATTCCAACTATATGAAAACAATAGAGCAGAGTGTGTATGTGTGTGTACAGAGGCTCAACACCTTTTCTCCCATTTCATCCCTGCCCAACGCTCAACATCTCAGAAACCCCTCAACCGAAATACCAAATCCATTGAACACCAGCTGTATGGATGACGCTATAAACTGACCCAGAAAAGAATTGCACGGGAAAGCAACAACACGAAACAAAAACCGGCGAATCACAAAGATGTGATAAATTGAATGCCATGAAGAGCAAAGTTGATGAACAAATATGAAAACTGAAGAACTAGCAGAGACTAGGCCTTGTAAAAAAGCAGGTTTCCCACTGCCATGGATGCAGCAAGCCAAGTGCCATGTGCAAACTGCATTAACTGGAGGTGCAGCAAAGGAGAAAGAATTTACGCCAATCTGGCCCACCTTTAACGGATCAGCTTCTAGGGGCAAATGCAGCTAAAGCATTAGCATGTGCAGGTGATAGGTTGCTCAATAGTGGTTGCATTTGCTGGCCGTATTGAGAAACTAGGTGTGAGAACGCTCTGCCGATTTCAGCTTTAACTTCAGGACTTTCCACTGGGGACACCACAACTTGTGCGAAAACATTAACCAAGTCCGGCACCACTGCAAGGATCTGTTTCGTGCATCAACAGAGAAGGGGAAACAGAGTTGCAGGGGTGTCAGACAAGAGAACCTAAGGAACACTCTGAATCAACACGATTGCTATAGTGCAGGCGGACAAACCAGCATTTTAATTCATAAGTTATGAATATTATTGTGCGTGTTTTTAGTTAAGTCTCTAGTTCCAACAGATACCAATTCGCTAGTCTAAAGTACCTGTGGATTGGATGAAAAAAGAAGAGTTGATATACAACTGTAGACAGCCATGGATTCTTCGTGGTCTTCTTTTAATGGAAGAGCTTTCAGTAAAACAGGAAGAACCTGAGGAAGTCGAGAAAACAACAAACATGAGAACCCTGTGAAACAATTAGCTGGGAAAGAAGCATGAGGGACAAGAAGAAAAGGGGTAACAACCTGATTCAATGGGATAGACTGGGGATAGGTCATTATCATTCTTGCTACTGCACCAGCTGCATTATCCCTGACTGCATTATCAGGTTCTGAATCCCCAAATAATGGATACAGTCCACGCAATACATCACCGTAGTACCTGGCGCTGATGTAAGGGAACAAATGAAAATGATAAACCCAGCCACGGGGTACAGTTATCTCCTATTGTTATCCTTGCATCCTGCAACTGTCTTGTAGAAGATTGTTATTAAAAGAACGAAATGCTAAATAATATCTCATGTAATCTGCCTCCGCAGAGCCACCCAAAACCATCAGGCCTGTATTCGTTATAAGTTGCAAGGAAGTTGAAGGTTAATAAAATGTCCAGGAATGCATAAGGATACTTGACAGATAATTCTCCTCCATTTTTGCATAACTCACCAACACAAAATGCAGCATTCCTCCTGTTTGTTGCATCTGATGAAGCTAATTCTTTTAGCACTAAATGCATCAACCTCTGAAGAAAAGAATCACCCTTTAAACAAATTGGAGCAAAAGGTAACAGGAAATATGCAAACTGCAACTTTAGTTTTGGGTAGGGGGAGGTTATCCCTTGGTTCAAAGAAGTAAATTATTTACTGCTAACTTACATCGACATAGCCTCCTATAGGTGCACCCATGTTTTGTGCAACTTCAGCAAGGGATGCAACCACCATAGTACGGTCTTGTGGAGGACGTGAGCTTTTCTACAATTTTAGTAACAATAATGATATTAGAGTTGATAGCAAGGAAGAATTATCACATCACAGCTACTATCAGATGCTACCCACCGCAAATTTCATTAAAGGTTCAAAGAGCTTTGCAAAAATAGGAGCAAAATGAGGACCCATGGCCTTTGCAAATGCTGGAAGAAGATCTGAAACAGCATCCATAAGGACTTCATCATGTGCAGTGTCACCATCATCATCGATGTCACTATCATTTTCTGGCTGCTGACAAGCAGCCTCCTCTCTAAGTAACGTCAGAGTTCCATCAACAAGCCGCTGCATGTCTGAATTTGCATCACATCAAACAGCAACAAACTTGTTCAGTCTCCTCCCAAGTAAAAGACTACATCTGTGATTGGGTAATGCATACTCTACTTTTACTTACAAGGTTCAACAGCCATGTAGCCATAGTCTTTAATGATGTCCGCTACACTCATGCAAGCTTGCGCCACAACTTCTTTATCGTCATCTTCAGTCATAGTCTTGATATAAATATTCATTACTCTATCTGAAAGATTACAAATTAGATAGTCACATGGAAGTTTTTGGATAAAATACCATGAAAAAGCTCCTGAAACACAGGGGCAGAGGATTATGACACAAAAAAAAGGTGTTCTTACCCAGTATCTCTACTGCCTTTGCTTGCCCATCCTGTATCAAAGAGGATTGTCCATCACATCAATGGTACAACAGTTAAACATTCTTCACCAACACAGATGACAAACGCCTCGTGACCGACTCTTATCACTTCCATTTTACGATCATAAAAATGAATGCTTGAAGATATAATAGTTAAACTAGAACTGGTAATGAACAGGCAGCATCATGCAAACCGATACGATAAAATGCTAATAGAGACGTTGATGAAGAATTCTTTTTCAAATGCATACTCACATTACTATTATAGAAGATCGTATGTGCTGCTGTCAAGATGTCTGCATTCCCAAAGAACCGAAATAGTGAGTCAACACTATAATGGAACAATTAGTATATTTTGCCGACCAAATAGGTAAAATATCTGTTGATTACAAACTTAGAGAAACGAATGAACATGAATGTCACATTGTAGTACGTAGTGAGACAGGAGACAAAAAACTATTGAGTGGTGAGTCAAGCCTAAAATTATGCCAAAGATGGATGAATTGTACTCACGTTTTAAGGATATCACTGCCTGAAGCCGCACATCCTCATGAAAGTACTCTGAATGTTTCACTAAAATCTTTACCGACTCCTCTAAGTATCTTGAGAAAGATTTAAAGAGTACATAATTCATAAAGAACATTGCGACTCATGATAAATAAATAAAATTATAGTAACCAGATAATAATAACTCTATAAGGATACGGTGCAAATGAATTCTTTGTATGAAGAGCAAACAAGCCAAGTGCTTGAGTTGCAGCTGCCTTTTCATCCAGCACTCCGGTTCTTATACTAATATTTCGAACCCTGGGTTCATCATGTGCTTCATCATCAGATGAAACCCCACCAAATCCATTGATATTTTCATCATCAGATTCATCAATATCCACTGCAGAGCCGTCATCTAGATTACATGACGAGAATGCCAAAGGAACGACGTGGGGAAGGTACTATGCAAAGAAAGGACAACCAGGTGAATAAATATTGAGAAACGAGAGGAACAAAAAGTAGAATATGTAGGTCGACAAAGAAACTAAAACCTGTGCAAAACCATCGTCCATGATTTCAGCAACATTGCTAAAGAATCCATGTGTGTACTCACGAAGCTCACTGAATTCAAGCCCAAATCCCTGTCAAAATGAGGAGTAAGCCACCGCCTAACATGAAACAGAATAGTTATGAGAGACAATTACTACTCTTATTACCAATACTGCAGCTTCCATGAATGGGTGTATAATTGGCTCCATCCTTCCTCTTCCAACACACATAGCAACTATTCCAACAAGTTCAGTAGCCCTTGCTCGGGATTGCAGATCCTCGTCATTAGTAAGTACCATAAACAATTTCATCAACTCTAGGACCCTTTCAGCATAAGGAATGAAAGCTTGCTCCGCAGCAGATGCGACAGAACCAATTGCAGACTGAATCAAAATTCAATAAATAATTTCCAGAAACATCAGTTGACAGTCCCAATAATCTACGGAAACTATGTTGTACGGAAAATTGCACGTCCATACCATGCATGTCTCCTGAAGGTTACGGGGACTACTTTGCAGGGTTGCAAGTAGCTTCCCCATCAAAGGATCAAGAAAAGGAAGAATTTCTTCACCCATGTTCTCACAAAAAGCTGCTAGAGCATAATATGACTTTTCCTGCACAAAGATTAAGTGAAAACAAAATAGAAATTACTGAAAGTTTTGTTCATGGGGAAAAATATGTGAGAACTTAAGACAGCCGACCATACAATCGTGTTTACCTTTACTTCATCAGATGCATCCTCTAGAGCATTCAAAATACAGGGAAGAACACTTTCGTAGTGAGAAACTATTTCTGGTTGCAAATACTCAGCAAATTGACCCAATGCAAATGAGGCTGCCCCTCTAACCATTTGCTCTGGATCCCTCAAAGCACCCAACACAATATGAAGAACAGGTTCTAACTTATCTCTCATCAAATCCACACAACCCTCTGACACAATTCCCAACGCTGTTACAGAAGCTTCACGGAATTTTGGATTGGTGTCTTGACTGCTTAATGAGGAAAACTCTAAAATAGCAGGCAACACATGCTTTGGAAGGTTCACTGCGATAGTGTCAATAACTTCTGCAGCAGCTCTATCTGGAGCAAGATCATCATCCTCATTAGAGTTGTTAGACTCTGCCAGCAAGGGACACATCACTTGCAGAATTGGGATTACCAACTTATACTTTTTCAAGGAGTTGGATTTGTACTTTGCTAGCCAAGAAACTATTTGAATAGCCTGTCAGCAATTGTAACAAATAAGGTAAGCTACTACGAAAGGATATCTACTTATATGTATATACAATGCAGCATACATCACACTCATTTCTAACCTGATGACGAGTGTTGGACTCCAAATTTTGACTAGAGGAAACTTCAAGCGCGAACTGCACAATTGATTTAACAGAGTCTCCAAGAAGGGGTGCTGGAGATTCAATCAACTCGTCGAAAATTTCAAAAGCAATCACAGCAACATCCTCCTCCCCTGAAGCAAGACATTGTCTTGCTACATTCAAAATGCTGGGAATAAATTGCCGGAACTTAACCTGCACATTGATATAATAAACAAAGGTTTAGAAAATGAAAATAGGTGTTTTCTGCTAGGATGAACAATCTATGATCAGAGAACAGCATGACTTGGGTAGAATGAGGTGCAAAGAGGTCAGCCAAGTGTGCTACAGAAACCAATTTTCATAAAGATAATACCCATATTTCACATGGGCTCTTCCTAATCGTAGCGGACTTGCCTTAAATACCGAAACTGACAAGAAAATATATTCACTTATGAGAGAGCTAATGCAATACTTAACATTTACGTCAAGTTGTACTTCCCAATCGAAAAGGGAACTTCAGAATCACTATCGTATTTCCCAGTTCCCATTGATTTTAACACACTTCCAAGAAAACTCCCCAGCCTCGTGTCAATATACAGAACCTCCCATTTTATGTATGTCAACCTATCACCTGCTGTCGACCACAACAACCAACAAACATGGGATCCAGGCGAAACCACGAGTGGATCAGCAGGCAACAAAACAAAAGTAGAACAGGTAGGCCATAGAATATGAAACCGATAACCAATTTATAAAACTGTATAAGTAAAAATACTTCACAGGCCCAAAAAGAGCATATTATGAAGAAGCACGAATCCCCTCGTAGAAAATGTGAACATCATTTGTTGAACTTTTGGCTTAGGGTCATGAAAGAAGAGCTCAACTTACCAAATCATCTCCATCACTAGTAAATTCAAGAAATGATCCGACTGCCCTGATAACAGAAAAAATGGAGGATAAGCAGCTATACGGGCTTGCCATACAAATCTGGTAAGGACAAACTTTTAGAAAGAAAATTATTACTTCAGAGCAGCAACTCTGACACGGTTACTAGCCTCATCCTGTAGACATTTCAATAGAAGTGCTTGGAGATCAACGAAATAAGGTTGGAATGCGTTGCCAATGGTTTCGGTCAAGGAACTGAAAAGGACCAAAGCCACCTTATGCACCACAAAAGCAAAGAATTAATACCATCAGTTGGCAAAGAATCGATACCATCAGTTTTCAAAACATGGTTACACATTACACTAGAAGCAACCATGCGATAACAGCAGGGAAGCTCACTTCTCTAAGATCTTCCTGGGCACTTTGACTACATTGGAACAAAAATGGCAGTAGGTCTGGCCACTCCCCAGCTGTCACGGCGTACTTTGCAATGATGCTTACTACATTGGCACTAGCACGCCTCACTGGCGGGCTGTAGAAACATGAAACAGGATCAACAATTGAACTAAAATCACAACTTGGTTAAAGTAGTATTTAGATGGGATCATGGGAATTCTTCGAGAGCATGAAATCCTACACAAATTTGGCTTTATTGTCCAGTCAAACGCTAAATGGCAAAACGAGAGGACAAAATTTGAGACTGCGCCAATAGATGGCATGCCATGGCATCTTTCTCTATTGCTCCAACAGGCACAGCAGCAAATCGGCATGAAATTGAGTTGCAAATTCCATCACCAATCAACAGGGGATTGAAAAAAAAAAAAAAGGAAAGAAGAAGCAGGAGGCAGGGGAACCTGTGTTCCATGGTGATGCTCTCAATGAGGGACTGCTTGACGAGCTGCTTAAGCTGAGGGGAAAGCTTGGCCCAATGGCCGGTGATCTTCTTACGGAGGAGCACGGCAGCGAGCTGGCGAACATTGGGGGTCTTTGCGGTGCGAAGGTGCTGGACAAGGGCGGGGACAACCTGAGGATCCTTGGCCAAGCGCTTTATCTGCTCCTCCGCCTGCCGACGGGCGTCGTTGTCCGGCATCAAGAACTGAATTAACAGCAATTCAAGTGACTGCGCCATGCCTGCCCGCTGCTACAGGCTTCTGCTTTTGGTGCCGTGGAGGCGGGCAAGTTCGTATGCGCAGAAAGCAAGACAAGAGGCAGGCAGTGAAGCAGAGGGTTTGCGGGAGTGTGTTCGCTTGTTGGGGACTTTAGGGTTTTGCTTTGGTTCCAAGGGAGTCACCGCCACTTCGCGGTTACGCTATTATTATATCACTAGTGTGGGCCCCGACTAGTTGGCCGGAGGAAGGTGAGGTATGAAATTTGATAATGTAATGGGGTGTATAGCTTATTGTTGTATAGTTTTTTTTGGAAACACGTGATAAAAATAGTGAATTTTAGTAGGAAAGAGACATGAATGATGCAACGAATCAAAAATCGGCCTTATGAACCAAAATCAAGTACATATTACCTTGTGAAACAATATTGTTTCTGATAATATGATGAGGTGGAGTAAGTTTTATAGAGACCGAATTTCAGAAAATCGATTAAAAATCGTCTATCCCGTCGGTTTTCGGGAAATGAGCATCTCACAATCGTTGCTAACTTTTACTCGGCCCGTTGGCCGATTAATTTGCTTTATAAAACTTTCATCTTGTCGTCATTGTGCTTTATGGTTTTTGTCAGGCCATAATAAAATCTAAGGAAATCAAGAACGAACAACACGATTTGGGATAGGAACTGCCGTTGTCGTATCTCTAGAAAATGGTGGTAAACACGGACTCACCTGACAAACTGGTTTGGATTGAGATTTTTATCGGGTATCAGGAAACCATGTGATTATAAAGTAGACTTGATCAAAACGGCCCAAAACTTGAAACTCAGCCTGTTTGACCGACCCATGTCAAATTCTAATTATTCTTTACTTTTAAACTTTCTATTTGAAAATAAAAAAATAGTGAAAGAAAAGATATGACTGCAATTCGCCATTTGCACATCACTTATTCGGGAATAAAATCATAGAAATTCAAAAGGAACTGAAAATATTTAGGATCATTTTAATGTTTAAAATAACCAAATAGATCTTTCTGTTTAGTTTTTTACTAACAAATATCAAATGATTCCCTATAAAATACACTATAATTTGATCATTATGATATCAAATAATTATATAATATATATTTGAAATGATAAAAATTGGACTAATTGGGTTGGTCGAGGTTGAACCATTGAATAACTTTAAAATACATTATATTTTAGCCACTAAGATATAAAATAATCGCATAATATATATTATGCCAGAGAAAATAGCTTGTTTTAGAATGTCAAACCAATGATGTTCATTTGTTTTACTTGATGGCCAAATCCCGTGTAGGTCAGGCCCATCCAACTCTTTTATTTTATGGTTAGCGGTTAGCCCATTAGATACCATGCATTAGTTTATTGTTAAATTTTTTGTGTTTAGCAATAAAAAGAATTATTATTTTTTTCTTTTCATATATATTTTATGACCACTGAGAAATAAAAGGGCTTAAAGAAAAAAAATTGACACTCCTGGACCCGTTCAAATCCGCATGTGTACGGTAAGTTGGCCCGTTCCACAAAGAAAAGAGAAAAAAATTGACACTCCCTATTCTACCATTCCTACAAACGCTCCTGGAGCAGGGAATTTGAAATGGGAACGCTCCTGTTGTAGGGAATTTGAATTGGGGGAAGGGTTTTTCCCTCCCTGCTATTATATGTTTTTAATTTAAAAAGATACAACAAATGTACTTAGTGTGATTGGTTGTGATCCTCGTTTTTCTTTAAAATGGTCATTGTTCGAATCCCAGTACTTGTCTTTTTAATGAATAAAAAAAAGTAATTGTGAAGACCAAAATGTCTTCTCGGAGGGTACTTTCGGAAACAGAAAATTGCACACCCTCTGACGTCGCTAAAGATGCCCACTGAGGACCATTTAGCCTAAACTAACTTTCGTGTCCCCCAACTGTTCCCAACTCTACTTCCTCCGCCGGTGTCTGGCTCCCGCACAAACCCAATCAATCTCACACTGATCAACAAAGTTGCAAATCCCATCCTAATTCCACCCGTCGTAAAACTTCCATCGAACACCGACCAGTTTCTGTTCTCCGGTGTAGACTGATATCAAACTCACCGCCATTTCGCCAATCTTTCCCAAAGCCACAATCATCTGTCGCCCAATTTCTTCCTCGCAACCCTTATCTCCTGATGTCAAATGTTTACGTGAGAATTATTACATTGCTTGAACCCCACAGGAGGTTTTCATGCGGTTGTCGATATGCAACCTCCTTATTTGGTGCATAGTCCTTCTCCCTTTTCCGTTCTCCTTCCCATCCCACCATAAATCCCTTCCTCCTATATCCATTTCTCCCCCGCGATGAGAACGGCGGCGGGTACTAATTGTGTTTTTATGGTTTTATCTTGCCTTTTATCTTCGTTGCACCTTGGTGACCAAGGATTTACATTGCCGGAGATCCCGTCGAATCACAGTGGAGGGGAAAGATAAAGGTAAATCAAAGGTCTCCACCGCCGGAAGTTCCAATCGATTTCACTCTATCTATTCCGATCAATTTTTTATGTCGCTCTGTCTTTTCTGATGAAGTATTGATGGCCACGGCCTTCTATGGTCTGGAGTTGCGTAGCCGGAGAATGATGAATGCAACCCCCTATTCTAGGTAATAAACAATGAACTCTTTATTGGACTCGATCCTTTCATTATCATGGTGTCATCAACGTTCATCCCCCATATTGCAACTTCGGTAGGGACTTAATAGCTAAAGATCCTACAGAACGAAGAGGAACATAGATTTGAAGTTGTTTTGGGGTCTTCCACTGCTGAAGATTTCGATGGTTGAAGCAAGATTTTAGATGGAGGGGTGGTTTGTTGGAGGTCAAGAAGAAAATATCGCAAGCTAAACTTGAAGGCAGAACAATATTTGAAGGTAAAAGCTTTATGCAAAATATAGTGGATGCTACCAATGAATTTGACGATTTGGATGAGCCCTCTCTCAAGGTTTAAGTAACGGATGATGTCGAACTGATCTAAATCTTCATATTTTTCGATTGCGTTTTATATTAATAATTCAGGATTTTTGGCAAGGTTCTTCTGGAACTCAATTGCTGCCATCAAGTAAATCTATTTGCCTTTAGTTTTTGGCTTATGATATAACCTGTGTTCATCATCACTAATGCAGGGTGTTCGATGTATAATGCAGAGAGGAGTCTGAAGGCATCATGGGGGAAAAGAAAGTGTGGAACTATTCATTTGAGCTTCTCTATGATCTCTTAGTGGAGGTTTTGTGGGATTGTGGTTAGGATGTTTTGTCAAAACTGCCTTTCATTCTTCTATGCTTTCTCTATCTGTGTGGTTTTCTTGGTCCGGAGGATGATATCTACAATTGTGTCCTAATTTGCAGAATTTCCATAAGAAATCGATCGTGTTAGATACCTTGGACGCAAGTTTAGGATATGAAAACTAAAATGTGTAGAATAAATACATAACTCTGATAACATGGAGGAATTCCTCCAAGCATGGCGAATATAGGTGCATTGTTATGTGAAACTATAAATCTGACTAGCTTTTCTTACTTAACATGCATTGGTTGGCTATTGGTCCATAGATCATACAATGTAGGATTTTAACATATACTTATGTATGCAAGTCAAGAGCCATAGCGAAAGAGAGCAGTCATGTCCTATCTTAACAACTCTTATCTTCCTTTCTAGGTATTATGTGATGTTTGTGAATGGATGTTCTATGAGACACTGATCTTAGATTGTAATCCGAGGATACTTTTATTCCTATCACTTTGAATAACTTCTAAGTTCTAACTCAATCAGCCACTTCATTTTAAAATATTTTTGGCACATTGTGACCGTCTTCTGTAATAGCTTATTCTTTTGTAGGAGGGACCACGATCCTAAAAAGAACACCGCCTAAATGATAGCTTTTGTGAGTTTTCAGTTTACACAAACACGTCTATGAAAAAATTTCTACTCTCCAATGCAGTCATCACTTACAGAGTCTTGCCTTCTGTTTCACTGTAGGTGCAAATTTGCTTCAGCAGATGGTTGGTGTTGCAATGCCAAGGCTTTTGAGGCTTTTTGGAACTACCTTCTTTCATGACTTGGGTGATATTTCGTACTTAATTTTGATTACTCACGTTCTTAAATTTTTTTGGTTGATTTCGAGTAGATCAGTGACTATTTTGGGATGGTTGTCGGGGCTCTTCCAATTAGTGATGGTTTCCATATTAGATGCTGCTACGGATTCTTTTGGGGTTGTGGTGTGCAATGGTTGTCCTCTTTAAGTTTGTTGGAACATGCAGTAAATGGCTGCCCTCATTGTTTATTAGATGGTTAATTCCGTATCGCCTCATAATTTAGTGAAGAAACCATATTTCATTAACCCATCATGCCCACCCACCTCAAATTTAGTTAATGTTGGGTAATATATGATGTCAAATGTCTACAATCACAGACTGGTCGCTGAATTGTTATTATAAAGTTCTGTGAGTTGTTATTAGAAAGCTTCTGACTTGGGAAATTAAAACCACATATATTTGGTGATTTGCATGCTGTGAGGGGCATTTCAGACACAGGGGTGTAAATCGGTAGGCAAAAGCAAGAGTAGCCTTATTCGTTTACGTTGAATTGCATGCTTGCTTTTTTCATATACCAGACCCCTACTGATATACCTTCCTAATTTGGGTCAACAAAGGTCAACAGTAGATGCTGTCACAATCGAATGGAGATGAGGGGACTTTAGGAATGAACTTGCCTCGAAACTTGAAGAGAAGAGGTAATGTAAATGTATAGATCGTGGGGCAACTAAATCAACTTTGTGTTAAATGATACACAAAATATAGTCATGTTCATCTTTAGTGTTATGTTCATATATGTGTTCCGCCTGCCGCAAGCAGCTAAAGCCACCACTTCTCAAACGAAAACCGCCACTGATTATTCTCCTTGGCTTGTACCCGACGATTTGCCCTTAATTCTATGTTTTCCTCTTTTGCCTTTATTTATGATTTGTACCGGTGAAGTGAGCGTCTGCTCTTATTGTGGAGGGATTGAAATGTGAGTCATGTGCTTCAACTACTTATTCTAGCAAATGAATCCAAAACATGTCAGATATGTGCTTTAAAACCATGTTCAGTTCTGGCCATTTCGCCCTTTGTTCAGTTTCAGAGACTGAGTTCTTTCTATTTCCATGATGTTTTTCTGCATTATTTGATCAATTTTGGAACCATCAGGGCTGTGTTTGAATGGCAGAAAAATGTAGTTGTCATGAGCTATCTGGCTAACTGAAACAATTCATTATAATTAAGATATTCTATGTTGGGTATTATGGTTTAATTGTTTGTGTATTATTGCTGTCAAATTGGTTAGTAGTCTTTGGTGTTCTTGCAAGTCCTAAAATACATTGACGAAACAGGAGCACAGAGAATTGGAGTGCCTCTCCTCCCAAACCAATTTCCCGAGCACCATACTCCTCATCTTAACCACAAAGTCGTCAAACCATCCTACCCACGAGGAAGAGTCACCTGAGAGCGAACAAGGGGTTCCAAATCTCTGTGAGCTCTAGGACAACAAATGTTCCAATAATTCAATACTCAGTTAAGCTACCTCCGACCAACGGGTCGGGTTATAAGCTAGTATATATGGCATGGCATATCCCCCACCATTATTTAATAATTTTCACCCTTTTTTACGCCATTTGTAACGACAACATATTGTGACTTTTACGAGTAAATATCAACTAGCATTCACCCAACCCTTGTTCGGATTAATTTAATTTACTAATTATGAAATGGGAGAGAGACCTAGAGCAGAAAAACATTTATTTGGGTCGAACTCACAATTTGAATCTATTTGAATCCATATAATTATTCACATTAAACCAATTTACACTTTCATTATCAGTGTTTCCACATTTATGTTTGTTATAAAAAAATGCAAAATTTACATTAGAGTTGATATTCATTTTTTTAGCCAATGTAATAGGTCTAATTTAGACTCAAACTAAATAGTGGTTTATTGATATGGCGTTCAAGTGATATTACTAAATACGATTTGACTGGTAATAAATTGGGTTTGGGAATGATGCTTTTTTACAATTCATAGTGGAGGAAATTTTTTAGGCCACGTTTGGCATTAGTTGTTCATTCACCATCACATCCAACGCTAAGGTATCACTTTCTCATAAGACTTTTAATTTACTGTGAAATGAGATGATCTAAATTCCTTCCGTTTTGGGTTTCAAAATAGTAAATTTGCAATCACTTCTTTACATAGTTTCCATCTCCTACTTTTAAATGTGTGAGATATAAAGTTCTCTATCTAAATTTCATAGCAAAATATGAACCTGTAAACATTGACAGAGGTGAATGAACAACTAAAGACCACAATAATTGTAGCTTTAGTGGTATGGAGGTATAATTTGAGCTCATAAATCAATTAACAGCATCTCATCTTCCATTGAAAACTAAGCGAAATTTATGGAGTCATTCATTGTTATATAAAAGTATTTGAGTAAAATATGTTTGGAAACTGAAATTGCATGCATTAGTGAATAATAGAGTTCTTAATATATATATATAATAGAGGAGTGTATTATACTTATAACCCATTAAAAAAATATACAACAAATTTGTTCAGTCTAATTTGTTATGACCAAGGTTGTCACTCGATTCCATCAATGAGTCGTTTAAGCGAGTGGGTTAAGGATTAATGGATGAATTATATTAACCTGGTTAAGCCTAGCTTTACCCAGGTGCATGAAAATTTTATTACTTTCACATGTATTACGCTTAGATATTTATGAAATTTCTATGATAAATTTAGATATAATGACGATTTAATATAACTTATTCGTTCGAATTAAGTTTCATTTTTATACTTTTCTCTCACTTGGAATTGATTCTTTAAAACGACGCTTTAATTCTAAATCTCTTCCCTCTTTCTTTTTATCTTTTTCCATTTCATTTTCTAGTTTCTTTTCTTCTTTTCATTGCATATCATATTCCATTCTCAATGTTCTTACTCTTCTTCTCCAATTAGATTTCATGTATATATACAAATGAGGACATTGGTCTTTGTTAATCACGCCAAGTCTCAATCCAAATATATGTTCGTCTAATCTTGTGGCTTATTCTTTGCTTGAGATGTGGTTGATTGGCGATGTGACCTTGCCGCTGGAAGGAAAATGGAATTGACTACTAAGGAAGTGTGTTGGCTTTTGAGATGATTGTTGCCTGTCGATACTAAAGAAGGAAAAGATATTATGGGATAACCGAACACAGGTGGTTGATGTATGTTGCTGCATGGGTCTTTGATAAGGAAAAGGACGACATGTCAACAGAGCTAGTGATTAGATTTGTTGAAAATGATGTCGGTTTGAAGTGACTTAGTGCTTAGATGAGTTAGTTGAATCAACTCGATTTCCTAATTTAACTGGTTTTCTTAGTTTGACCAAGTTTGGGTTGATAACCAACTGGGCCTCCAACATCCTAACAAATACTCGGGTTTGGGCAAAACTGATTCGCCCAACCATGTCAAACTTGGGTTGACAATCAGGCTTATGATTCTTGTCTTTTTTGGAAGATACATTGGTTCAAATTCCAATACTTGTTTATTTTCTACAAATATATAAGTTTAATAATCGTGAAGGCAAATATACCATTCATACTTTCGCTGTCGTTGTAGGAATTTGAAACGGGAAAATACTTTTCTCATTCCAGTCTAATATATTGTATTGTGTTTAGACGTAGACATATGTCATTGCCCTAGAAATTCATTAAGAGGTCAAAAAATGGTGAAATGAACCAATAATTAAGCTCTATCTCATACAATGATCATTGGATATAATCATGCCAGATTAGGAACATGTTGAAAGCTTAGCAGTTAACCTGGCTAAAACGTTAAAAAAACCAGTCTCATATAGCCTGCATAAGGATATGATTTCTTCATAGTTAATTCAAAAAATTAATACTAATTTAAAACTTTGACATTGCTTCGACCTATTTAATACTCTAATTTTATATGCAATATTCAACCAAGCGATATATGGGTTGCAATTTTAAAGTTATCCGCTATGTATAATATACATTGAAATATAAACGAAGTATTAAAATTAAAATAATAAAAAATATGAAAGTCGAAGTATCAAATCACCAAATATGTACTTATGAGAGATTTAGTTGCTAGCTAACCGTTGAAAAGGTCTTCTGATTTTTGAGATTTTAGGTTTGTGTATGTTTTTCTTTTAAAAGATACAACAAATATATGGAGTGTGATTGGTTGTAGCCTTTCCCTCTCTTAAAAGTGGTCATGGTTCAAATCCTCATATGTATATATTTTTTATGTATAAATAAGAAAGAAATAAGTAGTTGCGAAGACAAAAATGTCCTTCCTATTTTCACTCTCGATGCAGGAAATTTGAAATGGAGCAATGAGTTTTGGCTTTCACCTTTATAATACTAGCTTGAACCCGGCCCGTTGGCCGGATAGTGTTAAATTATTTTGATATATTATTTAAATCGAATTATTTGTCATTGGATTGGTTATATGGATGTATCCTATATGCAGCCACATTTAGATGTATCAAGTTAATTACATAGAAAATGGCTGATAAATTATTGTAAGACAAATAATTAATTAAATCACATATGCTTAACCCAATGGAAGAGCTCCGCCAATGAAGAAAATTTATGAAGAACTTGCATGCCATTCTTAGTCATCCATGTGTAAAATAACCAGAATCTAGAAAAGCCCACTATCAAGTAATCCATGTTCGTTGAAATTAAAATAAACCTCTAAATAAAGTTCTCACAAGCCCAACTGCAAAAGACTTCCAAGTAAACAGTAGAAAAAGAAAAAAGACCCTTCACCAACTCCTTAACTAAATAGTGCCAGGACTTGTCAAGGTGTACTTTCAGAAATCCGCTGTAGATAATAACTTGAGGAGGACCAAATCATAGTACTCGTGCACATCATTCCACGACCCGACTTTGACAAACAGTCGATATACATTCCCCATGAGTGGATGGAGGATGTGAATGAAGTCATCATCGAACGAATTACCATGAGGAAAAAGATCATGAATGATTCTTTTAAGGTAAGTAGAGGGAAAAATGACTTATACTACAGAACTAATTCCTCAACGGCAAGATGAATTATGTGTGTGCCATAGTTCGGACACCACGAAGGATAGCAGTCAATTATGCGACCCTAAAAAAGGTGAAGATTGTCCTAGTATTAATTAGAGAAAAACACATCAGTAAACCCTTTAACTAACCTTTGCGGAACTTGGGAATAAAAGGGTTTAAAACATGATTACCATATTCTCCTCCTCCAATTGGTACAGAATAAGATCAAGTGCTAGACAATTTTCAACAATAGCAGCAGCAGCTTCATAGCTAAGATGTAAAATAGCATTTGCTTCAGCATCATGACTATGAATACCAATATTTATTACATAACACACATATTTAACAACGCATATATTAGACATTCATAGGATCATTGAACTTACAGGACTAAGAACTTATGAATATGAGGAGCATCCAGATTCATATACATCTTAGTAGCAAGTGATGCGGTGAAAGCAAATTTTCCTACAAAAATATAATTAATATGATAAAAAGATTAAGTAATTAGGAATATTGGGAGAACCAAATTCTAGAATTGATAAAAAATGTTAAATTGACAAAACAGTCAACCACATTAAGCACTAAAGACCTTGTACATTATAAGTCAATGCACAATGAAGGATATAACAATTTAAAACGACATGTGATATGACCTCTTCATTACCAAATAGTTGTTTATTAAATAATATCTACACATAAGTAAATTACTTACCTCCATGATTTTGTATATATAGAGAGGTGAACACAATGACTTGTCCAAAAACTACTGCATCAGGGAGCATATTCTCAAATGCATTGATCATATTATCCCACAAAATTATGTTCACCGGTGGCCCCCTTTATGAAAAAAGTGATCGCAAATTTTAGTATATAAATATGCTATAGGGAATAAAATTAAAACCAATCAATGTACACGTACTCGAGCAATTGAACAATAATCCTCTTGTTGCGAAGTGGTAGATCAGGATACAAAACATGAGTCGGATAGGCTGCAAGTAACCTGCCAACAACATCTATAAAAAAAACCTATAATAATTTCTTAATGAAATTAACCTCCAACAATTCAGCAGTTGTGCAATTTGAGGTTCAAAATATTCATTACTAAATTGAACTCAACCCGGATGGGTAAATATGCTCAAAGTAAGTTAAGATATAGTAGCTAACGCAAAGATTTATCTATTTAATTTAGGACTTGCACGTATAAAGTTGTCATCGACAAAGGCATTTTATAACTTCGCCAATATTCTATTAATTGAACAGTATGTACATGTTAATATTGATGGAGATGAAATGTTTTGAAATTAATCAGCCTTCATACCTGAAAGGACTTGGGGATTTTTGTATGCAAAGGGAAAGTCCACATGGGCTAAAAAATGAAAGCTAAAATGCGGAATGTCACCAGCTACATCCATAATTTGTATCAGTGTATCAGGGCGAAAGGCAACTCGAAGGTTACTTGGAGCAACACGATGAAGCTGGGTGGTCTCTTTGAGCGTAAAGCGCGAAATCCTGTAAATGGTTCCTTCATTGAGGTTTGGAAGAAATTGTAACACCTCCAAGCGACGAACGATACCTTGGATTTGTATGCCCTGTTGTAGATGAATATGAAGGAGGTTAGGACAGAAATCAGTAAATGATTACTACACAAATAGAAAATTAATAGACTCACATGGCGGTCAACAAAGAGCATGTTTGCATGCTGAATTGCATCTCCAACTAGTGACAGCTTCACCCAGACCCTGAGGAGACGGACACAAATAGCAGCATTTTCAGCGTTCAGATGGAGCGCAGCTACAGGCACAACATCCATGGAGAGTGCTCGTTCAAAGTATTCCTTGTAGTTACCAAGTCAAGATTTTTGCTGAGCTGAAATGAACGATGCACCGAGGCAAAGCTGAGAAAAGAGATTGATAGAAAACAAAAATGAGAAGGCGGTTTTGAGCAAGTGATTAGTATTTAAACAAATAAAAAGATGTAAAAAACTGAGGCCTTGATGTCTCGGCTGTAGTGGGGAAGTTTCATGAGGAGTTGAGGACCAAATCATGCTCCTCTACTTGCACGTTTGGCAGCCTAGTTTTGCTAAAAATCAGCAAAATGGGTAGTTGGTGGATGAATAAGTGGGGTGAAGAAGTTGCATGCTTTACGCCAACAGTTGTAACTGAAATAACCAACGTCCGCAATGTATAGCCAAATATTAATCTCACTAAGTTCATTGATGGTTAGGTTTAGGATGCACGTATTAGAGGAATCTTTCTGATTGCTAGTATGATGGGGATGTTATGCCTCTTAAAGCCTCATTTTGATGTCGAAAATCCCTAGAATGAGCTTATATTTGCATGTTTAATTAGTTTACCATTTCTTCAAATATTAATTTCACTTAGTTCATTGCTGGTTAGGTTTAGGATGCACGTATTAATTAGAGGAATCTTTCTGATTGCTAGTGAGATGGGGATGCTATGCCTCTTAAAGCCTCATTTTGATGTCGAAAATCCCTAGAATGAGCTTATATTTACATGTTTAATTAGTTTACCATTTCTTCAACTATGCATTTGTTTGCCCTTCTCAGGTACAGACACCTTCTGGTACAGCACATACCCAAAGGTTTGCTACTGAAACAGTCGATCTCCCAGCCCAAGAAGGGGAAAGGGTAACTATTGCATCAGCTGCTCCATCCTATGTATGTAGAAGCATGGGACCCTTCAAATTTAGTCCCAAGGCCTCTAATGTCTATCCTGGGGAGCCTGTGTGACTTACCAACCATGTTAATGGACGGGAGTCACCACTGTTGAGAGATCCTGCGAAAGATGGGAGACCATCCTTGATTAATCCCGCAATGCTAATTCCTCTCACTACAGTTCTGGCCACTGGAGATGTTGCATCAGACATGGTTGACCCCAGCTTACCTCAGCTACTTTCAATTGCTGCATTTAGATCTATTAGTGTTGGGGCAGCCATGAATACGTTAGTTTTACCTCAGCTGAATCAGGTGAACTGCCACATTTCTTGTGCTGGTACCTAGTATTAGGCTTTTCAGCTGGCTTCCTAGAGTTTGATAAGATTACTGATGTTGTTAAGGGTCTAACTTTTATGCACTTCTTCCTTTCTATAAACTTGTGCTCTCATGCTGCATGCTCACTTTTAGATATTCTGTTGCTCCCCTCCTTATCAGGTTGCTTTTTCTTTAAATTAGATATTCAGCTCTTAGTTTTGGTCGAACCTGAATAGTTGGAGGAGGACGTGTGTTGCATTAAGTGCGCACTCCTATTTTACCTTTTGCTCTGCGAAACCTGTGAAAGCATTCCTAGCAAAACCTTTTGTTGGAGCTATTATGACTAATTCTTTCTGCTTGTATGAATCTAATGCTTGAAATTTCTAGAATAGCTTTTGGGAACCTTTGTTAAGGCATAAACAGAAAATGGTTAAAGAGCAGAGTGCTCACTTTCTATCCATCCTAATGAGACAATCAACAATATGAACAATCTATCCTTCATAGGAGCACAAAACATATTTATATATGTATCATCAAAGAATCCGAACAATAGAATGTCTTCAAACAGGAAATGACATAGCCAGTAGCGTAGTAAGTTAAGTCCAAATATCATAAGCAAACACATTCACTACTTCATCCATTGTCAAATTTTGTAGAAGGTCAGATCCAAATACTTAGTCCATAAACCAATTATCTAGTCATAATCGACTAAGATTAACTTATCCTGGCTCTTCCTCTTATAGTTCTTCCGTGCAGACGTTGCAGCTTCTCTGGCAGTATTCGGATCTTGATTTTCATCTCCTTCATCTGACACAACTCCAGAATTATCACAAATGGTTTCGACTCCCACTATATCGATTCCGACCTCACTGTTGTGTGTAGGATTTTCAGAGGGCTCGACCGTAAGCAACTCACTGACTTTATGGTCACTGCTCATGCTGCTGGCAATGGATTAGGATGACGAATTCGCTTTATCAAGTGCTGAGAGAGATGGATGCAAAAAAATAGATCCATTGAGCAAAGTATAAGTAAAGTGTGTTAATCTGTAATCCCCACGCGGTCATGTATTGTGTATAAACATCAGCATTCATTAGAGCATCAAGACTTTCCAGAGCAGTGTTAACACATTACAAAATTTGTCCATTTCATTATCCACAGTATAGAAATGTATATACTATGCTCACAATGTAGAAGTCTTTGACAAACTCAATTCACCAAAATAGATAGCAATATAAGCATATACAAAAAAACAGCAGGGTTAAAAAATCCAAGGTTCACCAAAACCAATTGTGTATTGAAATTGGTTTATACCCAGATTGTGACTATATCTATAAGAGTCTTGAAACAGCCCCCAACTTTAGCTATTGAGGACTGATCGCCGTGTGCAACAGGTAATACAATTCTCAAATTGGTTAGGGATTACGGCTAACAGAATCAGAAAAACTAAAGTAAGTACCCAAACTAAGTTGTGTCGTATCAACAAAATGACTAACTTGGATTGCAATAGCAGAATCAATGGTTATCATGTTGGAATGAAGATCAGTAATCTGAAGAACACTGAATTCATGTGCTGAAGTTTTGAAATTGAATTCCTTTAGAATAACCAGGAATTGCAACTCAAGCTTTTGAATTTTGGCAATAGTAGCTGGCACAACGGTGCTGTCGTTTTCCGCATCAGCAAATAGGGTCTGAGCTGAGATACCAAAAAACCTCTTCCCTTCATTATCCAAGACGACAAATATAGCCTCGCCTGATACATCAGAGGCAGCAAGTTCTATTCCGAATTTGTTCAAACAATAAAGAAAACAGACAGGTTAAGTTTAAATTCTAAATGGAAAAAAATAGCAAAATTCTTGTTATCAACATGTCGACAACCTTTAAAAGAATGATTCAGTGTCAATCGACACTTCTTGCAGTAAAACTTATTTGATTCAGATTCTTCTTTGCAGAGGCATTTCTCACAACCATCATAATGTCATTCAGTGAGGACGTCATTGGCTTTGCAATTCACAACAACTATCTTATTCTGCATGCAAAAAATAAAAGGATATAAGAAACAGACAACAACACACTTATTGCATAATGAAAATAATTTTGTTAAGTGATTCTCGAGCATTTAAAAAACCAAATTTTCAACTTAGATTGAGTAGACAAATCAGTGTTGACCAGCGTGCTAGACTGCATCACTTGATTAGCATAATCGCAGGTTAGAGCCTTCAATTCTTCAATCGAAAGTGGGCCAATATTTTCTCTTCTTCAATCAGTTTGGGAGCATTATCAACAGTTCTGATCATTAGAAATACAAAAAATATTATAAACTTAAACTTGAGTCAATATTTTATATTTCAACCAGAATATCAAAACTAAAAGAAGACTGTAAACCTTTCTTTAAGGACATTGACTTCATTCAAGTTCAATCGGTCATAAATAATAGTGACACCAGATGATGACAACTTCAGTTCATCTAGCAAAAAACAAAAAATAGAAGTAAGGAAGCTAGACTGTGAGTGATTTTATCTATCTTAACACTACTATATCAGCATTTGAAGATGCAGTCTTACCATTCCACTCAGACACAAAAACAAAGGTATTGACTAGGACAACGTTCCGATTATTAGAAGCGTCGATTATTTTCTCTAATATACTAGGAAACCGTCCCCACAAAACCACTTTCACTGGAATTCCCCTTTTCAAATACCAATAAGTGACAATAAATACAAATTCATCAAAAGAAATAGAATTTATTTCATAAGAATGCGGTTTGACAAAAAGTACTCAAGTAGCATGATTGTAATTTCTTTGTGCTTTGAATTCCGATTGGTTGAAGTTGATTCCCTGGTGCGATAATGTCCCTTGAGCTGTCCAACAACATCTATGGAGAAAAATGGTCTAAAATTACCAAACAACTCAAACAAACTATTTGCAAGCAGTTCTAAGTTTAGGTTTTCTGTATTGGGACTACTAACCTAGCAAGAGAATACGCTGGCCGCGATTGGGGTAAATGTCTTCATGTTTGAGAAACCTGAAACAGTACTCACTAAATGGAGGTACAACATCTGCAACTGGGACCATGGTTGTTCCGGAAGTGAATTCGATGAACATATCGCCTGGAACAGGACGAATCCCTTGTCCTCTTTTACCACTTCAAAATTTCGAATTAAGTATGTCTTCTGCTCTTCGATCTTACCCACAAATTTGTTCAATTTTGTTTTCGGAACTTGAATCCAAATTGCATCACCCTGTAAAACAGTGGTGGTGAGTGAATCTATTGGTAGGCAAAAATAATTTGGAATTAATTAAGCTTCCTACCTTAGCATCCAGAGCGACCATGTCCAGGCAGAGGATTTTGTCTGTGTTCGTGCTTCGAGCTGTCCATAACCTTGAAATTCGGTAGTGTAGCACCAATGACTACTTGCCTATGGAAAATTCGGAGATCAAGTTGGATTGCATTGTTCGGGCAGAGACGACAACAAAAGTAAGGAAAGTTAGGTAATTCTCGACACACAATTATGCAGAATGAGAAGCAAGAGTATTTATAATCAACAAGAATGAGACTACCGAAGAAAAGGGAATTTGTGAGAAAGAAAACCGCCGAATAAGAAGTGCCCATTAGATCCACATCAGCCACGCTCCCGGAAATCCCTAGCCATGCTGGAAACGGCCTTAACCGTGCCTGATTGCATATCCGCCCCTTGTGGCACGATTGCATAGCAGTCGCCCTTAAAACTGGGAAGACAGATCGTGTGGCAGATGAGATTGGCGACAATGGTAATGGGACGTAGGGAATTCATTAAAAATGATAATCCTTTATGGGGAAAGTTGAGTTTTTGGTGACACCGGATAATTGTAAATACGGGCCCAATTGTAAGTAATAAGGAGGCCCGATTGCTTAAACAACCTAAAATGACCAGGCCCTAAATGTCAGTGCATTGGATGACTTACTGGACTTATTGGATGACCAGACCCTAAGCAACCAGATACTGGAAATCCAATCTTCACGGACGTTTGTACATGACATTGGAAAGAGTCACATACTCAATGGAATTTGCATTCATTTATTAATAATAATATGGAGTTTAAGATGATAAAAAAACATTAAAGTTAACAATACTCCGATTACACAACGAAAATCAAAATTGAACCAACGACAAAAAAAAAAAAACAAAATATTTCCACAAAATAACATCTGCAGTCATTTTGAATTGTCAGGAAAAAACAACAAGAATTTGATTTGTGAAATAATTTTCGGCGTTATTATTTTTGTTAATACAAATTTGACGAATTTAATAAATTAAAAATTGTACACTTTATTCTCAGGCTTGCTGACGTGGGCACTGACTGGTCCTTGACTATTGTCAATGGATTTTACCTTTGAACTTCCCGGCAACAACCCATGGCGAGCAAAGCAAGAAATTCAGGGACATAGTTGAAGCCAGTGAAGTAATATAAGTTAGCAAAGCCACAGTTGGAAAAATTGGTGGCAATTCTCAATCCAATCCACCAATCCATTATAAATATCTACCTAATCCAAACCATTCGGTCAAAATGTCAAATTACGTGGTGGTACCTGTACCTTTCATAATTTACATTTCGGTACCTAACATTTAGTCGTATTATGAAAAATATCACTGGAAAATTATGTATTGGTACCTAAATTCTTTCATTATGACATAGTAATACCAAAAAATTTCCCGTTGGCGGTAATTGTTTAGGCAAAATGGAGTTACGATATCTATAATGATAGTGGCGAGAAATGAGTATTGTTTTATTTTATCATAAGATTGTTGCAATTTTGCAATTCGTTAAAGACTAACATGTAATTTCAATGAACATTCACAATAATTTAAAAACAAAGTAATTCTTTAATTAAGGGAAAAAACATACCATTCACACACATATTGTAAGCATGAGGAGAATACATTAGAAGATTAGCTAATCATGATAAAATACTTATAAATTTTACTAATCACAATCTAATCTAGTTGAGTATTACGACAAATAACATTAAGTTCCAAAATAGAAAAACTTAACACATTATCTCATTGTTCATGTTACTCAATTCTCCAAAGGCAAAAATAATTTCACCAACACAAGTTCACAATAACCAAATGCATTTTTCCAGGGACCGACAGTGACCATGACTTCAAATGTATGTCCTCCAAGCATGTTCATAAGGGCCATATAGTCAGCATTGACAACATATGCAGGACTGAATACAGATCCAACAATCGTTCATAACTGTGATGGCGGGAAGACGATCTCAACACCGATGAAATCGTCCTCAATTGTGAGGTGGACGAAATGGATTCTGGATGCAGCGGACCAGGACGTTATCAAATCCGTTACACGTCCGGATAACAGAAAAGAGATGCCCTGGTGTTAAAACATAAACGAATATGGTTAAAGCAAATTGGGAAAATGCAGCATGACACAAAAGTCGTACGATTAAAAATAAATTTATTCGTTTAGTTACCTAATTTTCGACATCCAATTGCAACATAATGAGATCGATGCTATCAGTACGCTCACAAATTTCAACAACATCATCGTATTGCAGATTAGCAATAAAACCATGGGGAAGCCTATATATTGGACTGTAAGTTTTGGCACTAAGTAGTAAAAAAGAATCGAAATGAACTGATATCGTATTCGTTGGATGCATGAGCAGTACTTATTGAATGCAATTGCCAAGGTGGTTGGAGCCGGAGTGATTTGTTTAAGAAGTGGTAAATGAAATTAGAATATGTATCTCCATTATATAAAGGAGACAAAGTAGTTGGAGACTTGGCCGTGATTTGCTTAGTGCATTTCATGGAATACGTGGGTGGATAGTGGATATAAACATAGGTATGCTAAAATTTGGTAGTGGGTGTAATTTTTTTTTTATACACGGAGGTAGTGGCATTTGATGGGTGTGTACAGCGCCTGATAGGTTTAGGTTTGTAAAATATGAGGGATTCTAGGATTTGGTTTGGGTTTTATTTTTTCAATAATCATGTATTGATTTTGTCTTTGAACAGTGAGGCCCATTGGGGTTATTTAAATGTTACTGCTAGGTAGGGATGGCAATCATAGTTAGTAAAATACGGTATGGGAAAGTTACGTAAAAAATACATATGGGTATTTTACGTCATCTCTAAGTTAATGTTACGTTTAATAGTACGTTAATAGTCATAAATACATAAAAGTTAATTATTTTAAAAATAAATAAATAAATAGTAACAAAATTCACAATTTAATTCATTAAACACGAATATTAAACGTGTTATACAGGTTTTATACATGTTTAGAACAGGAGCCATCAAATGAACGGGAAAAAATGAAACGACTTGACAATAATACACATATGGAAGTTTTAAACGGATAAATTACATATAGTTACATATAGGTAATTCTCACATTACGTAGGACAAAAATTACGACAATACTTCACGAGAATGAAGAAAATTAATTTAAATAACACAATGTCATAAAATATTATATTTATATGATAAATATATAATATGTTAGACAAAATATTGAATATTTATAGACAAAATACATATAGATGTGCATAATCGGGCGGGTTCAGGTTGGATAGTGAGAAAACCATGCTCACCTATTACCCGCAATATTCGAGTTCTGGTTTTCCCCATACCCACTAAGAGTCCTTCGGGTTCGGGGTTTACCCAAGCCGATTAGGTCGGATTCGGGCGAATATCCACAGTTACGGATAATTTTGAAGGCTAGCAGCTTTGATTATACTGATGTTTGATTCCATATTAGATATTAAACAATTAGTTTTCTAAAATTTAATTGCTAATATGAGTTTTGCATAATTTACTTGTTAAGTGTATAGTTTAATACACGGTCCAATTGGTCATTTGAAATTTATAAAAATGATGAAAAACATGACAAACGATGGAACTTTGAAACATACGTCACTTATACGATTGGGTCTCCTCCGACACAATTAATACTGGGTTTTGTCTACATCGTGGCGGCTATCTCGATACATGCATGGCTTGGCACATCGGGGAATTTATAAATTGCGCAAGTTGGGGTATGTCGATGTTTCTTTACAATTATAATTTATATCGAAATGATTAGAGATGTTCATTTTTAAATTAAAGGATTAAGAAATTAATATTTTTTTATAAAATGTATTCCTTTATTTGTCATGTTGGGTTGATGAGAGTATCCATGACCGCTATGCCCCGAAACAATACAAATGAAATAGGTGAAATAATATGATTCCGGGCGAAATTGCCATCTACACACACCATAGTGAGAATGGGCGTGGCTGCAAGAAACTAATTGCAACATTTGTTTTGATTGTAATTTAATTTTGCCTCTCCAAAACTAAATTGGATAAATCACGAAAATGAGAAATAAAAAAAGTTCAGGTCATAGAAGAACCTTATAATACGAAAAGTTCAAAAGCTTTACAAAATTCCACGTGCTCACAAAATAAAACATTTGAGTGAGCCTACTACACAGTAACTTATAGTTCTTGCATACTGAAAAGAAATGAACGATGAGTTTTCAAGAAGGTAGAGGCATAGTACTGTTCTAGAGTCTGTAGGGATGAACCAAAAGTCCAAAAGTAAAGTATGAGAATTGAAAACTCAAACCATTTCCAATATTAGAGTGTTAATGGTTCCCTGGCATTTGATGGAACAGTAACTACATTTTCAGATGCAAAAAATAATGAATGTATTTTAAATAAAGCTTACGGGAAATGGTTGCAAATTAGACATAAGTTCCGGCACCCTGTATGCTTAACAACCATCTTGGAAAACAACATCAAACCAATCCAAATAAATAAGCGATTCTCCATTATAAACAAATCTGCAAGAATCAGTTACAGCTAAGGTCTGGCACACTGGGTGCTTTAAAACCAACCCATGAAACTAAAGGGCTAAGCTCCAACAATCTGTCATCACAAATAAGAGGAAAAAACTACGTTAAAAATTAAATAGAGCTGAAGGAAGCGGTTGGCCAAGCCAACCACTTCCTATTAAATGTTTGAGTGTGGTTGACATTTAGGTACACAGTCCAGGGATCCATTAAAAGCCCTCCATCCTTAAAAGACAGCAGTGAACATCTTTAGCAAAACCAAATCACAATGATAGACCATATGGTTCCACGCTCCAACTTCAATGACAAACTGGTAATACTTCGAAAGAATGCAGCTGAGAATGGGGATGAAGTTAGTGTCCCAATTGATATCTGTCTCCGCAACAACATCACCAGCAATGCGTCTAAGGTTGACAGAGGGAAAGACAACTTCCAGCTCTTCAGTTACATCATTGACGACGAAATGCACAACACTGAACATAGAGTGAGGT